AATCTCCTGCTCACAATGGAATAGAAAGTATGGGTGTTATTATGAGCTAAATGTTTGTGTCCCCCATATTCAATTTCCAAGCTTAACCCCCAATGCAATCAGTATTTTCGAGTGGGTGGGGCCTTGGGTGGTAATTAGGATTACATGAGATCATGAGGGTGGTGCCCTCCTGATATGAGCAGTGCCCTTATAAAAAGAGAAATACCCCAGCTGATGTGGCCCAGCAGATGGAGCACCAGACTGCAAACCAAAGGGTTGCTGGTTCAATTCCCAGTCAGGGCACATTCTTGGGCTGCAGGCCAGGTCCTCAGTAGGGGGCATGTGAGAGTCAACAATACATTGATGTTTTTCTGTCTTTCTCCCTCCCTTCCCCTCTCTATAAAACTAAATAAATAAAATTTTAGAAAAATAGAAATCCAGCCATTTTATTTTAAAATCCAGATTCCCTTGAAACACTGAAATAACTGACCACTCAGGGCTCACATTTCATGGCAATGACAGACTGAAGCTAAATAATGGCTGCCTCCTCTAGGTGAGTTAACTAATCAGCCACAGTCCCCATTATTCCCCACTGCTTCCCCAGCCCAGCCTGCATTCCTCATTGAATACTGTTGAAGGCAATGAGGGTTCCTAAGGAGGTTGTCCAATCACTCTATGGCATAATCTCTTTAAGACTGAATTCATCTGGTGCTCAGCTGAAAGTTTTTGTGTGTGTTTTTTTCCCTTCAAGGATTTTATTGCCATATTCCAAGAAAACTCTTAGAAAGCCAAGAATGTATGATGCATCTTTCATAATGTCCAGCACAAGACTAAGAACAAAGTAGCTACTCAATGCTGATTGAGTGAATGCATTCTCTGTGATGTTCAATATCTGCTTTTCTTCCCCCAAATTATAGACTTTTGCTATTAAGGTAGACTAAAATGATTACAGGCATGTAATAAAAAAAAAAAAACACTGAAGTCAATCACTGAGTTTCTATTTCAATTTTCCATTAGGTTGAAATGGAAATGGGAACTCTGGATAAATGTAGAACAGACCATTATGTCTGACAGCAAGATGAATTAGAGCCCAGGATACTGAGAATGCCTGCAAATAAGATTACCAAACACTATCAGTGGTCTTTGAGAGAATTGTGAAAAATAGGGTGGGTGCCAAAAAGCTGTAGATGGGCGAATGCTGTTCTCATTTCAAAATGGGATAGATGCTACAGCTTGCCAGTTCCCGAATACAGAATATGATGTCACTCTCAGGCACGGTTCTTGAACAGATTTGTAAAGGAACACTTGCGAGCACCTCAGACAGGAAGCCCTGTCCATTTGGAGCCAGCACAGGGTCACTGAGAACAAATCATGTTAAATTCATTTCATTTTCCTTCTCTCTGACAAGGATCCTAGCCTAGTGGATTAGAGAAATCCAATATATATAAATATATATGGTGCAATGAGGGGGTGGGCAAAGAAAAGGACTAATTCAACCCTTGACTATATTAATAAAAGCATTACACATAGCATAAGAGAGGTGATAGTTGTTTTCCTTCTCTGACCACATCTGGAAGATCTCATTTAGAACTAAGTACAACTCTTGAAGAGGCTTTTGATAGTATCATCTTTTGGAGATCTATCTGGCAAAACCTCTTTAAAAGCATAAAACTCTTGTTCAGATTTCTGGCATCTGTTGAAAAATTGAAAGGTCCACTGGGCCTACATTCCTGAATGGTAACAACTGGTTGAATCCAGGTAGTGATTGCTCATCTGTACAGGACATGTGCTCTCAGGCCCATCCTAATCACCACTACCCCTTCTTATATTGCCCTTGCTGAGGTGGTGGGCCAGCTGCCACAAATCACCTTACTTGACTATCATTACTCATTTATTCTACCTGCCAACCACCTAAAGGCATGGGAGTTTTCAACCCAGGATGCAGTGGATCCAAAGGAGAGTAAAGATAAGCAGCAGAGCACTGCCGTATATCAGCAAATAAGGATGATCGTAGTGTAGAGGCTGTGACCAGAGTCTCCAAACATTCAATGGGCAGTCATGGGAAGAAGTATCTGTCTTGTTCTCTGAAGTCCCAAGGGGGAGATACTGTAGTAGAACCTATAAGTGGATGAGAGACTTATTTAATCCAATGTAAGAACAACTTACAACAGCCAGAGCTGTCCAAAAATAAAGAATGTGGGCCTTGAAGGTGGTGAGTTCCCCATCACTGGAAATGAGCAAGCATATGGTATACTACTGCATTGCAGATCCTTAATCAAAGTCCTTAATCAAAGGACTTCAAGTGTCTGATGAGACAACAGAAGGCTTGAGTATGAAATTTTTTATAACAGAAAAAAAATTGCTGTGAAATATTCCCCTTTGTTAGGTCAATAAATTCTTTAAAAAGAAATAAAAGAAAGTACGCCTACAAAGAACTCAGTATCACTTTTAAAAATCAAAAGTTCCCCTCACAGAATTCACAGAGAACAAAATCTAACTAGGTGGAGTGTTTGCACCAAATTAGCCAAATGCTACCCAGGGAGAAAGGTAATTGGCATCAGGCATTATTTTTGGAGATTGGTCAAACGTTCTTCAGAGGCAAGCAACAAAAGCGAGGGATCAAAGAAAGAGGGCAAACAATGGAATGCCATCAAGAGGCAGCCAGCCCCACCACAGAACTGCCATCTGCTGCTGACATCAATCCTTCCAGGGGCAGCTGCAGGCAAACAATGTAGCGGGGAACACTTGCCCTGGCAGAAAACCCTCTGCCTTCACATTTCCAGTCTTGTGACCTTGGGCTAGTCATTTAACATTACGAAGCCTCAATTTCCTCATCTCTGAAACTGAGTTCATGTGAACCCTTTCTGTACCCTGTGTAGACCAAGAGTAGTGATGTCTGCGAGTGAGCCACAGAAGCTGTAGAGCCCTGAACACACAATTATGACCATGATGAACATAGAATTTTGAAAGAAAAGATTCCAGATGGTTTTGGGCACAACAGCATCCTGACCTTAATGGTGTGGGTGTCAACACGAAAAGAATAAAATTAAATTCCCAGAACTAGAATGCAGAGACATTTGGAGCCTAGAAAAGACACGATTATTTGGGCAAATTTCCTGCTGAAATGCATTACCTCGTACTTGCTAATTAGTTGTTAAAATAAAGGTGAAAGGTGCAAAGTAAAATAATCAGCCAGAGCAATAAATGCTTAATAGATCTTCAAGCAAAGTTCACGGGCCCAGTGGTAGCAAACCTTCAAAGATCAGCACATTTCCTACCAAGACAATGCTTATAAAAACCCCAACCTATCCAGAACTCGGCATCCCTTCCTCTATTATGGCATCTTTTATGGGGACCTCAGTTTAAAAAAATCAGCCACATTAGTCTTGTAAAACATAAACTCCCTGAAAGAATTTACAAAGACAGACTGGCCTTTTGTATTTGAGCAATCAGGTGAATTCAAATCTCTGACCAGTAAAGGGCTTGTTTCTAAATTTTCAGCAAGGGTGAAGCATCATAGATCACTGTTTTCTACACTGAACTGAAAATTAAAGAGGAGGAGACCAGAGGGTTTTCTGCATATTTCACTTTGGGGTCTACCCAGGCGTGATTAGCATATGGGGTTTGACCAGAACTAAAAGGCACAAGACAGTTGGCAAAACGGGGAAAAAACACCAAAGCTCTCCCCTGATGGCTGCTCCCCTCCCAAAGTTTCCCAAGCCTCTGAAGCATGTAGAGCAGCTGTGACTGCTGCCTGGTCTCCCGCTGCTCCTGTGGAGGCAACCCGCCTTCCCTGGTCACTGAGTCTTGAGCTGCAGCAGCACCTAGAAGCAGGTGTGGCAACCACAGATCTGAGCCCCAAATAACCAACTTGCTCAATAGGCCGCTCATTACCTCAAGGGGAGGCATCAGCATTCACAGATGTATTTGGTCTTTATTCTTTCTATGAGAGACCACAACACACCCCATGTCGCAGCAAGAACCGTAACCGGAAAGAAAACAGACCCTAAGAGGCAAAGGCCCCAGCTTCTCTTAGGGCATATCCTCGGAGAAAGCATGAACATGGTGAATGGTGCTTTTAGGCTCTCCTTGCCAAAAGCTGAGCCTAGAACTCACAAGGACGGGAGAAGCCTGACCTGAATGAGGGTTCTGCCTGCATTTGTCTATGTAATTGTGTCCAGTGTCCTGTTTCGCCTTGCTAGTGTGGATTTAGGGAGAGGCTTCTGAGAGGATTGTGTGCCCAGTGGCACCAAAGCTAGAACAAGCAGCCAGAGGTCATTTCACCCTCCTGGCAGGTTTCCCCTGGCACCATGGAAGCCAGGCAGCGCTTACCAGTCGACACAGCGCACTGAGATGTTAGCTTTGAATGAAAACTGATGACCCCAAACGCTAGTGCACGGAAGGTGATTGGGGTTGCACACTGCAAGAGAATACAGTTTCTTCACTGAGCTCCCTTCTTATACTTAAATGCCTGCATTAGTTTGGATCAATATGCCCCATAACAGTTAATCCATGGCAGCCCCAGCCAGCCGAGAGACACTGACAAAGCAGTGCAACCTCCCTTTGCTGATTCCCTGTACACATGCACGTGAATTCCAGCCCAGAGAAAGGGGCAGAGGCAAAGCAACAACATAAAGGAGAAGAAAAAACCATAGCAGACCATAAAAAATAGACATCATATTAAGAGACTTTGGGGGGGGTGACTGTCAAAATGGCCTTAGAGTGACATGTTATGGCCAAGATGATGGAGTATCCGAGACACTCCTAAAGCCAGGGTCGGATCCTCCTTGCACACCTGCAATGCAGTGATTGCTGCCGCTCTCTAATCCATACACCCAACACCAGTGCTCTCTGCAGTTGAAACCAGTCTGGACTTGTACGGCTGCCACCGTTCCTCCTCACAATAAGATTATTGATGCACAACAACATTTCAGAATGGCAGGGAGGAAAAGGGGGGGAAAGCCAAAGCAAAAGAATAAGGAAAGGGGAGGAGAGGCATGACTCCCCAACCCGCATCTCACCTTTTATTTGGGCTTCATAATCGGCAATGATCTCTTTGTCTTTCTTGAACTTAGTTTGAGATGACATCTTCCAACGTGGCCAAAGGCACTGACAAGCTAATTTATTTCTCTTTTTCTTCCTATATTCTCTCTCAAGCCCTGGTAATCACACGGCTCTGGTCGATTTCACAGGTTTAGGGGCTAATCTCTTTTACTTGCTGCAGAGCCAAGGGAGAAATCTCTCTCCTTCTGGAAAGAAAATGTTCTTTACTTGCTGAAAAATGTCTCCAGTAGCTCAGTCTGGTCAGCTCCTCTTGCAAAAGAACCACCACTCTACGAGCACAGTAACCTGCCCCAGATTTTCAAGGTTTTTCTTCCAAAAAACAATAACCAAGAACACTCACTCACATACACACTCACTCACGCGTGCACTCGCACACTCATCTGGACATGCACACACAGTCACAATGCACACACACCCTCACTCACACCCGCTCATACACACACACACACACACACACACACACACACACACACTTCCAGGAGAGACTCGGTGCTTCTTTGGGCGTGCAGTCAGCCCCTGGCTTGCTTTCCAAGGCTCTGCTAAGAAGATGGTCAGGTTGCCAAAGGGCCGGTCATCTCTCATCCTCCCTCCCTTCAGGGCTTCTGGTCTGGCGTTCAGTGAGGATCAAAGCCAGAGAGAGGAGCGAGAAGGAAGTTCTGCTGCAAGGCTTAAGCTCAGACGAACCGGTGTTGGACTGCGCGCCCTGCAGGGCTAGCTGAGCGCTCCCCCACCACCCTCGCCCTCGCCCTCGTCACCAAGCTCCACCTCCCGGATTTTATAACAACTGACACATTGTAGCCTACAGGAGAACAGAATTCACTGCAAGCAAAAAGGGGAAGAGACGCTCACAAAAGGGAAGGCAGCAGGAAAAAGAACGGGGCTAGGAAGGCGGGAGAGGCCCCTGCAAACTCCTACCATTAGCAGTTGGATTAGGGAATTTTCTTCCAAAGTCTCTGAAAGGTCCACATCTTCTTTGCACCATGCAATTTAATCCAATTTCTCAAAGCAACAGCTATGTGACAATTTGTCCCTCGGTGGGAATTGTCTAGCAGAGTAAGGGGCTGACCCATGTAGGCAAGCTCATTAATATTTGTTGAACAATTGCAGGGTGGCAGGGACAATGCCAGGTGTTTCAGACATGCAGCTTTGCAAAGCCATGAAAGCAGGCATGCTGAAAACACCCAGCTGCCTCAGTGTCTCACTGGGCATTGGGCAAATTAATAACTCATTGAACCTCAGATTTCTGAACAGTAAAATGGGCTCTCATGGGGGGCTTTTTCATTCTTTTGTTCAACAAATATTTACTGAAAGTCTACTACTGGTCAGGCATCATTCTGGGTACAGGGATGCAGCAAGGATCAAAACAGGGGAAAAAATCCCTGCCCTCCTGGAGCTCTAGGGTCTCCATGTCGCACACCTCCAGGAAGTCACCACATTAATGTCCGCAGTAAAAGCAGTCCAGAGCAGAACTCAGAATGCATTGTGATGGGGCCTCCTGGAGTTGTGCAAGGCAAGAGGCCCTGGGAGATGAAATTTTTTTAAGTGAGATAATTATTAATGTAGAAGATGATGAGTGTATGGGGAAGGAAATATTGCAGGGTAGGGGGCTTCAGGAATGAAGGAGCTCTTGGGAGGATCAAATAAGAATGTAAAGACAAGTTTAGCCCAGTGCCTAGCATATAGGAAGCACTCAATAAGTGATAACAATTATTATTACCCCATGATATCCCCTCAGCAACAAAACAACATAATGTAAGTATTCCTCTTTAACAGCTGAAGGAACAGAGGCACAGACATGGGAAGTGACTTACCCAAGGTTACCAGCATTCCAGCCTAGGCTGTCTGACACCAGATTCTGCCCATGCAAATGCTCAAAGTCTTCTGCATTCTACTAGAGAACTGAAACCCATTTTGCATGCCATTAAGGTATAATAAGATTGAAAAATGAAATCAAGCACTATATAGGGTCAGCAACCACTGGAATCTCACATATTAAGATTATCATTAACATGTATTATCCCCTGAGTACTGTATTTTCACAAATTTCTCAAAAATAGTCTTCCATTTGCCTTTTCTGAATGTACAATAAACTATTTAACTTGAGTTTAGAAATGAATAGATTACGCATGTCAATCCACTGAGGCTTCCCAGAGAAGGTGGCAGTTGTAATTTGTCTCCCCAGATAAGCATGGCGAGGGGTGTGTGGGCAGCAGGGTACCCCTGTGAAGCAGACAGTACAAGCTAAGGTCTACAGATAGGAATGCACAGGATCTGCCTGGAGAAGTCCAGTTGAGAGAATCGCAGGGCTTATTCCAGCTTCGTGCCTAGAGAAAAGAGGTTGCAAAGGTCCTACGTCGCCACTGGCCCATAGCCATTGTCATCAGCCCCCTGCCTGCCAGTCCCACAGACATACTCAGGCCCTCTGCAGTTCCCCTTTGGACTGGTTTAAAACAGAGTCTGCCACACATGCTAGCTGAGAAAGATGTGCTCCAAGATTAGCATCCCTGCCTCAAGCCTAGACTCTCAAAGAAAACTGGGAGTGTGCAGTATACCCCTTGGCATGTGGCAGACTGGCTCTCCGGCCTGGCTCTGCAGCTGACTAGCTCTGGGAACTGCAGCAAGTGACTGTATGGTAACCTGCTTGTTGCCCATTTGAGACAGGAAGAAGTAAATGTCAGCTATACTCTTCATTACTAAAATTTTAAATCCACAAATATTTCTGGGAGACCCATGTGTAGGGCACTGAGCCACAGGAATGTCACAAAAATCTAAATTGAAGCAAAGTATGGTATAGAGCTATATGCTAAAGGGCAGGAGAAGTTGGATTCTGGCCCAGGACAAATGGTGATTTCAGTTCTGGCCCTGCCGCTTACCAGCTTGTAGGGGATCTAAGGTAGCTTCTGCGCCTTCTCTGAGCCTCAGTTTCCTCATCTGTGCAATGTGGTGATCTCACTCACTGCACAGGATCTAATGTGATTGGGGCTTTACAGTCCCTGGCACAAAGCAGAAGTCCCACCGATGTTATTTCTTTTCCAGGGCTCTATCATGCTGGACCTCGGACAAGAGTCAGGGCCCACAGATACCCAGGTTAAAATCATGAAAGAAGGAAAGAAGAAAAAAAGAGAAAGAAGAAAAGGCTTGTGCCCCTTGCAAATACGCCACTGCACACCCTGAATCATATTACCCAGAATCTTCTGTCCCTAAGAATAGGTGATGTGACCTGGGCCGGCCCCCTGGCACAATGTCCTCACCCTTTTCCTTCCAACCCTCCCCTCAGCTCGCCCCAGTCTCCCAGCTGTCCTTCTGTGACACTGCCTTCCATGTGGCCACTTCTTCCTTGCTATATGAGAGAACCAAATGCTATTCCTGATGCTCACCCTCCACGTGACAGAAACCAGATTTCTCCCCCTAATAAAGGTGGTATGCAGCAGGAAAAAGCGCTCTGCCATTGATCTATGCCAACCCCACAGGATGGGAATACTCCCTGGAAGGGTATCTGCCATTGTCTCAGGCTCATTTCCTGAATTCTCTTACATATTCCCGAATTATACTAATAGCAAGTATTTATCAGGCCCTTGTTCCACATGGGTCCTGGGCCAACCACTCTATAGGTTTCAATACTGACTGCTGCTGCAACCCAATTGGTCAGGTGCTGTAATCATCCTTGTTTTATAGGCAGGGAAACAGAGGCACAGAGCTACAAAGCAATCTGCCCCAGGTCTCATATCTAGACAGTTGCAAGCCCATATCTAGAATCATACCTAGAATCACATCCAAGCCCAGGTCTGACCAACATCAGAGCCCAAGGGCTTCACCAGCACTGGATTCTACCCCAGAGCCATCATCACATGAATAACTGCTGTCAAATATTATTTTTTCAATTAATAGTGTTCAACCTAAAGTTCACTATTTTAAAAAAGAATCTGAGGTTAAAAATACAAGGAAAGCATGTCACAAATGGCCATTGATGAGACTTAAATTACAAGTACGGCTGAATGACAGAAAACTCACTGAACTGGTTTCTTTTACTGGGAGAAAAAAAGGACTCTGCTTGAAAGAAGAATGACCAGAATAGTTTTTGGTTTAAGGCAATTTTATTTTTCTGTTCAAATAAGAAACCCTCCTAAGATGACTAATAAGAGTTGACATCTTTTGTGCCATTCTCCATGTTGCTACAAACTAAAATATCCTTGGCCAGCTCAGTGAATAGTTCTGCCCTTCAATCTCTGCTCTGCAAAATGAAAGCAAAAACAGAACTCAGTTAGTGCCAGGATTTGATACAATTAATACTGATGATGACAACATGCCTGCTTTATATGTTAAAAGCCCTTTCATATCATTTCTCTTATTTGGTGCTCACAGTAACCCTGGGGGACAAATGGAGCTGTTTCTAATCCCTGTTTGACTGATAAGGAAATGAGTGGATAAGCGGAAGCTTTGATGGGAGAATTATTTTATAACCTCAAGTATAAGGATGGCCTTCCTAACTGTGTCACAAAACCCACCTGACAGATTCAATTACATAACAATTTTTTCAAAACTCTGCCTGGCAGAAGCCACCCTAAGCCAACTCAAAGACAAATGGCAAATGGAAATACAATATTTGCAACACATACCATAGGCCAAGAACTAATTTCCCTGATCTACAAAAACATATTAATTCCCCTGACATACAATTCAAAAAAAACATGTACAAAAATGTTCATAGCAGAGCTGTTCATGACAGTCTAAAAAGTAGAAACAACCCAAATGTCTATCAACAGATGAATGGATAAATAAAACATGGTCTATCCATACAGTGGAGTATTATTCAATGATAAAAAAGGAATAAGGGCTGACGATGCTACAACATGGATGAACCTTGAAAACATTATGCTAAGTGAAATGAGAGACACAAAATGTCACATATTATTTGAGCCCATTTATTTGAAATATTCAGAATAGATAAGCCCATAGAGATAGAAAGCAGGTGAATAGTTGCCAGGGGCTGGGAGAGGTGGGGAAGGGGGAGTGACTGCTTCATGGATAGAGAGTCCCTTTGGTGATGATGGTGATGTTTTGGAACTATATAAAGGTCATGGTTGCACAACACTGTGAATGTACTAAATGCCACTGAATTGTTAATGAACGGTTAATTGTGAATGGTTAATTGTGAATGGTTAATTTTGTTATGTGACTTTTACCTCAATAAAAGTATTTTAAAAGCTTCCTTCAGATCTATGAGAAAAATACCAATAAAAACAGCCCAGTAGAAAACTTAGTAAAGGATATGAATAACACTTCACAGAAAGGGCAGTACATATGAAATGTTAATCAACTTTGTTCATAATGAGCATGAATCAGGCGTAGCTGAATCCACGAGCTTTAACAATGTCAACTGGAGATGATGTGCCTTTCTCTGACTCTTTATTCTGCTTCCCTATATGGTGACAGGCTCTTCCTGAAAGATGGCAAAGGTGGCCCCAACAACTCCACGCTTACATTCCCCCAGTTTGGCAATTCCGGCAAGGAAAGCAGTCTTTCCCGGGAGTTCCAGAAAAAAATCCCAGGAATGGTCAACTGGCCTGGGCTGGAGGGAACAGCTATCCCTGAACCTTGAGGCCTGGATCTTGGGTTTGCCCCCAAAGCTGTGGGATGGGATCAATCCCAGACAATCCACATGGCCAGAGAGATTCCTGAAAGAGG